GTATTTTAATTTTATAATCCCTGGGTCCTGGGTTCGAATCTCTCGAGGGGCGGGATCGTGGATGCGCACTGCTGAGGAATCCCATATAAGAACGAAACGGCCTTCCAGTGCTCCCAGGTTTTCCATGGTGGTCTAGCGTCAATTGACTCATAATTTCAACTAGGAAAGTTTCTGAAATCTCCACAAAACCCCTTCTGATAATTACATTTCAGTTAATTTGGAAGTCTATGAATTATTTAAGATTGTATTTTAAATAACTAATTGGTTAGAAATGTTTTTCACAACTTCCTAGAGCTTAGATTTTATAGTACATGGGAATATTTTGCAGTAAGGAATAGAGAAAAACCTTATAGAATTAAAACTTTCCGTAGTATCTTAACCTAATTGATTAATTATCATTTTTAGATGAGTTGTCAATATGGTTGCGTTTGAATATTAAAACTTATGATTGTGCCAAAGAATGACAATAAGAAGTAGTATACTGCTTTCTTCAAGTTGAAGACAGTTATAACCGAAAAATCCCATCTCCTATACTGCTTCATGGCTTCCTGTTAAATTGTTTCAACCACTCAAAACTAAATATTCTGCGCACGATAACAAGAAATTTAAACTAGCTGCTGTATTGTACCTTTATCGATGGTATTCGGCAAGTATTAAATAAATATATTACTGGTTACTACTAAGTGATCGAGTAGAGCTGCTACTGACTTTTATGTACTTTAATGATAAAAATCAGTACTCAAGTTTTTGGCTATAGGTAAAAGTTTAATTTCCTTATAGTCACCACTTTCGGATTCCTCAATTATGTGTGTATGATTCAGGTTACTTCTAACATTATTATCACTTCCATTACGAACAGATATTTACTTTTAAAAAATTTGTGAAAACAAAGATACTCTACTATTTTCAGTAAATCAAGTCAGAGTTGCGGTAGTAGTAAGACGTCGATTGAAATAGATAAAAATCACACTGTATTATAATTTGAAATACTAATCAATGTATTTCGAGATCTATTTACAAGTTCACTAACAATGTGATTGAGATATGTTCATAAGAATAGATTACCTGGTTTGAATTTGCGCGATTGTCGGGATTGGTGTTTGAAGTTATTGTGTTACATGGCTCAAACTTGATCTCATGGGTGTGAATCCACCCATTATTTATCTCCCTTGCCATCTTGAGTTCTCAAATTATCTAACATTTTTCATATCATGAATTGATTTTTACTTCTTGAATCATTTGTCTATGCCTAATATATTCCCTTACTAATTACACTGTTACTACTGTTACTACCATAGGATGTGTCTTGATATTATCCTCTTCCTATGGCAACTTCAGCCGATGTACATGTCTCAGATCATTCAATGCACAATATTATTGAAAAGTACATGATGTATTCAATCCACATCTATTTTATTATCACTTACGAAATAGCTTACTAGGGCTACCCCCTAACAAATCCACCCTAAATTTATGCTATTATTGATGATGTCAAGCCCATAGGGTTATCCTAACCTCTGGAAAGATCAATCTATCCATTCTTCTTAATCCATGTTTTGACCTTGTCACTTATTCATTTGTGAATCCTGACTGTTTTTTATATGAGCGTATATGTGTACAGTTCTAATCCTATTCATCACATGTCTGTAACTTATTTTTGTTCTACCATAAATATCAATTCACGATTGGCTAAATTGAGATGGCTCAATCGCCCTCTCTATTGAGCGTAATTTCGCTTCTCCGATCGTTTGACTGGATCAACGATTGTATGAAATACACGTATTTGAAATTCATTCTCTTATTTGACTTATTTAATTTCATTATTCACCAACGTGATTTAAGTTGGCGTTTATACATGAAGATTGGCGACGTGGATATTTCAATAAAAATGCAGTTAGATTAAGGGACAATAAGATGGTCCTAATAACTCGCAGACGAAACCGTCGACAATGTCTTGATTATAAATTGTTTTCATGATTTAATGATTTTTTAAAATGCTATTAAGAAGAATAGTTATTTTCATTCTTTAGTAGGAATCATGTTATCAAATAGATCATTTTATCCACTTTATTACTTGCATGTTATTTGAATTGAACATTTTGTTGGTTTGTTCCTTTTTTAACAAAGTAAACAATCTTGAATAAATAAATTTCCAGTATGTGGTTGTATAGATTGTTAAATTTCATTGAAATCATGAACCGATCTTAGTTAGAGCACCACTGAGAACCTGGAAGCATTACATTATTATTATTAATGACTTGATTTAAAATCATACTTTTAGTACAAAGAATTTCAATAAGTTTCCTCTTCTTATTTCTTGATGGACCCTGACGATAAATATTAAGTGATCCCCTATCAGATGTTAATAGTTCAGGAATCGACATCTCAATAATGCTCATTCTTTTCAATGCACAGTGCCAGCCACCACAATGTCTCTGATTCTACGTTCTTGTAACCTGTAGAGAGAAAGGTGGTACGCTTTTTGTAAATTCGCCTGAGTAGGTTATGTGATTAATAGACATAATGTGTGAAAACAAACAAAAACATATAACTTATTGAGATATGTTAATTTCAGGAACAGGTAGCCCAGATACTCAAGCAGGCTGCTTGACAATGATCGTTTTGTCCTAGTATGCGACTTCGCGGTACCGCACATCCACGACTCCGTACGCAGAATTCGAATACAAGAACTCCCATCTCACACGTGAACTCTTAACCTCTAGATTAATGGGCCGGCATACATCGATGTTAATATATGACTTCAATCAATCCACAACATAGCGCGACCATATTCCATTGTAATGGGTTGATAACTGCTTTACTGGTCACGGCTTCTCACTCAAACTTCGGAAATTTCCTCTCGAAGCAAGGTACTAGTGAGCCTATCGTAATTTTTAATATGAGGTTGTTGAGTTTTACTGAAGACAAGAGGAGACGATCGTGCTTTGTTGTGGATTGACATTAACATCGTTGGATGTTGACCCAGTTGTTTAGATGTTAGGAGTTCACGCGTGAGATTAGAGTTCTTGTGTTTGAATCCTGCAAAGGGAGTCAAAGATGTGCAGTGCTGAGAAGTCCGTACTACGATGAAACGACTGTTCAATGCATCCAGTTCTTTCAATGATACTCTAATTTGGATCACTTCATGATTTCAATGAAAGAAAATAAATTATTGTTTTTGAATAACTTTCGGCGAGACTATATTTTATGGACGACATTTGAACGAATTTTTAAGTGACCTTCAAACTATTAGCCAAACAGAAGAGAGTTAGTAAAAAGTAAAAATATATTATAAAAAACTAATGAATTACAGCGGATATTCTTCTTTTACATGATTGAAAAACTTGTTAAGGTTAGATAAAGGTTCAGATGTCCTGAAATCATAGTGCATAGGGTAAGGGTTAGGGTGCACAAACCCAAGTCTATGGAGGCATTCGTACGCTTTCCAATCATCGGTATATATCGTACTACCAGGCTGCACGTACTCCAATTTGCAACAATTATCATGATTTGCCTTGGTCTGAGTCGTGATCGAGCGAAGAAATTGCCAGTTCGAGCAGATTTTTTCCTCCAACATATAGAACAACAAAACACAATCTCGTCACCGTAGTCTGCACATCGTACTGCAGTCATTTGATTGCCGCAGTCACAGATACAGGAACTTCTTAATAGTCCCATCTGTTGTAGTTGCTCAACAATCACCTCTTCTCTAAAATCTGCTGTAAGACGATCGTATGTGAGCATCACGTATTGAACTTAGCGCCGTGACCTTGAAATTCCTCAATCGCTTCTGATTGGCTCGTCCATAAATTAAAGTCTCACCTAACTTTCTAGTGGAATACTTATTTATGTGCTTATATTAATCAATTTTCCTTTGGATTGTAATCAACTAAACAGTTTATTTTTGAAATCAAATGTTTATTTAATGAATATTCACATGATAGTTAAATATTTTTCTTAAACTATTTTGAATCGGACCCTAATTCATATCATCATGTTTTACTGACATATTAAAAAAAACAAATTTATTTATATTTGTTTACTACGTATGGTAACATAGTAACTTTAAGTAGTAAATGTATATTTTACGGATCGAACGTATTCGGTTAAACACAATTTGCACAAATTTTGTAATAATTTTTTTCTTCCTGTACTATGTTCTTATATACAATCTTTCTTTTGTATATTACCACAACTGAATTAACTGTTTCTTTGAATCCGGTGTTCATCTTGTTGTGCTAATGAAGTATGGCAACTTGGACCAATGCACATATGTGCCTAGTCCCACGTTATGGCTGACTGACTAAATTTTTTTTTTAATATTTTGACTTCTTTTATAACTTGCGGCCTGTGTGCCCTGTTAATGTATAACGTGATGATACCGCTAATTAGAGAACAGTGAATTATCGATCGGACCAGTGACGTATAAAAAAGTATGATCAGTCTCGAGTCCTCATCGGTCCTGCTTCCCTTCTAGCCCAGCCAGTTAAGTCCAGAACATCAATCTCAGCCTCTGCGATATAAATCATTTATTTCAAACATACTGGTTTTATATACCAACCAGACAGATCACATCGTACTGTAAAATATGAAACTAACATTTGTACTAGATTTGGCCAAATGCAGCTGTGAATGTGGAAGGTAGTAATTAATAGACAGCGAATAATAATAACAGTTCATATGTTAAAATAAAGCTTATGATATGAGAGACATGAATATGAATAGTTTAGTTATTTAACAATTATACGATAAAAATATACTATAGTATTGATCCATAAATGGATTCCAAAAGTTACCATTCACTATTCTTATCGGGACGTAACAACTTCACTGTAGATATGATAATCCTGAAGTTTTAACATAAATGCCAATATATTTGACAATAGCTTGATGTTTTTTTAATTACAAGATCAAATGGAGTTTTGTACATCAATTTTTTATATTAAGTTCATAATATTTTATTTCCTACTTTCACTTTATTTTTCTTACTGATTCATTAGTTCACCGAATAAATATGATGCATTTGAAGAGTTTAAACGTGAACCCGGTTCAGAACTATTCACTATTTATCAACAAAATAAAAGTAAGTATTATAACTATTTCAATGTGAATACCTTATTTGTTTTGTTTTGTTTTGTTTCCTAATTCAATAATATAATCAGTTTAAATTAAAGTTTATTTATGCTTAGAAAACTAAAGATGACTCAAGAGTTAGTAATGTACAATCATGTTTATATTTGTATGATAATCATTGTAAATCAATACATTTGTTATGTTACACTGTAATAAAATCTATTAAAAATCAATAATGTATTCAATATAAAACCAAGTAAAGTAATTTTTATCCTTCATTATTATGTTTCCCCTGTAAAGTTTTAATAAGAACATTCAAATTTTCTTAATAAAACTGTGAAGTGACCTTAATTCAATGTTTTATCTTGTTAAAGTGATTCTATGTTTCACGTTTATGTTGATCTTGTGACTTAGCACTTATAAATAATTTCACTGTTTGTTCATTCATATCACGAATTGATTTAAATTAAAGAACCAGTAAAAATCGTCAGGCACTGGATAACTGTTCTATCTTAGTATGAAACTGCTCACAAGTGAGTTTCGACAACTCCATAGTCTCAAATCTAACCCATTGTCTATTGTTAATGTTTCTAAGTCGTAGTAGTTTAACCCAGTTATACTGATGAAAATAAAATCAGTTGACAAATCAAAGAATTAAAATATATACTGGTATCATTTGTAGTCAAATCTATTAATTATAGACATTTCATATTTGAATACATCTTCTCATGAAATTTCTTATTTCACTCCTATAAATTTTCAAAAACTATTCAAATCAATTGTACTTAACTGTTATTGACATTGACTATCAGAAATTAGCACTCTAAATACTTCAATTATGAATGATTTATTGATTGGTTGCTTAGAAGAAAATGAAACAAAAAAAGTACTTAAAATTACCCATTTAATTTCGATATAACCGATAGTTAAATAAAATTGCGGTTTATTTGTCAAAAGTATTTCGGTGAAGTGACATTTCAATTCAGTTACTATAAAATCAATATTTGTTAGATAGTTTTGCCAAAATGTTTAGAAATTTCAACTATCAGAAAAGTTGCGTAATGATCAGCAATTCAACGAAATATAACTAAGATGAAACTAATTGTGCTATAGAGATAATGTTCGTAAATTACATCAGGGAATTTTCCACTTTACGAGTATAATATAGATGAAGAATAAATCAAAACCGTGGAAGTGGTGATGGTAAATAAAGGAAAATTAAAAATTAAGAGGTTTAGAAACATGAATGAACAAATACTTTACTAGGTATAAAAGATTAAAAACTTTGTAGATATGTTAGGATAAGACCATACACTTGTCCGTTTTGCACACAGCTTAAGTTTGAGAAGATAAATTGTCAGCGCCTCAATAATACATAGTTTTTGATTTGTGCTTCCTTCGAAACAAAATTGACGAAATGTTAAGATAGTTTTAATGTATATTTCTACTGGAGAATTGTGACCAGAATTAACACTGTTTCAACATTGAATTATTGGTTATTTAACATTCTTCTTTCGGAATTCATTCAGGTATTTGTTGGGTGAGCTACTTTTCAAGAGCAAATAGACGTACAATCTGTGAACTGATGATATCATTTACCTAATGAGTAGATGCTATTATTGAAACCATAACGTATATTCGTTTTTATACATATTCATTTGAATGGTATCATCAACAAATACTTCAAAGAAATATGAGCTATTAGTTCCCCACACTTGATTAACAACTTATTTTGTTGACTTGGAATTTGATTAGTTGCTATATGCAACATTATAATCTTTGCTTGTGTCGTTATTTTAGTTGTTTTTTTCCTAACATGAACTTTGACCATGCTATTGGTAATCCTTTTCCTTATTGGTCGATAGATCTAACCAACTTATGAGTACCCGTTAATTAATGTTTGATTAAAGTACCAGACTTCTAAACAGTTTTTAGCTTTCTTTGTGTTTGCTTTGTATAATATTTTGACTCTCTCTCAATCAAACGCTTTTCGATAGCAGTCTACATGTACTGATATTGTGTCATTTAACAACAAAGTGATGTTCATGTAGGTGTAGGCGAAGAGACTGGTCACCATTTCCTGCATAATGTTTGTCTCAATTGTTACAATCTATCTGACATATGATGTTTGGTTTGTTCACGTTCGTCGGCGTCCTTTAGTTTGTATGGTATTTTCCTCACCGATGTTGTCGTTTACGGGCTACACCAATTCCTGTTGGTCATAATAATCAGTTTGTGATGTTCTTCATGTAAAATAAAACAATCTGTTTGTTGACCTTTGCTGTTGATTTTGAGTTTGATGGCCATTTCGATAAGCTTTTATTGATGATGAAGTTTATTGGCAATCATTTTTTTTCGGAATACATCTACGGTGTATTTTGTTTTGTTTCTCCATGCAACGCTAGTACTGTAGTTTGTCTTCATTCTTGTGAATAGTATTTATTTTGTACACCATCGGGTTGTTGCCATTTGACAGATATCGTCAGGCTTTGAATATTCTTGAGTCTCTAGTTTTCCAGCATTAGTTCTGGTAATCAGTGTCTCTAAAAAATGGTAGCATTTTGTCCCATTCTGCTTCCAATGTGAATATTATATCATCAGGGAAGTCGTCGATCAAGTTGTAAGTACTTTTCAGACGATTCTTTTTGATAATCATGATTCCGTCGTCTTCATAGGATATTTAGATTCTTAACTTGACCATTGATCCAGCCTTTACGCGACTGCTTCGGAAATCAAAGGCGATAATGATGATTACACAGGAAATTTTTTTATTTGTTTGTGTATTTAGCTGTTGCAATGGAGGTATGTTGTTGGACACCAGTTGATGAGGTTCATGAAAATATAATTTCGAATCTTAGCATATTCTGAAGAATTCGTATCATTCACAAGAAGTATGGATATAGTGTCTCTTAGTAGGTTCGATTCTAAGAAGACAAATAAAACTGTAGCATCGTAAGATACAATCGATTCATTGTTGACTAATCAATTAAACAGTAGTTATAATCAATATTGTTTCAGATTTTCGACAAAATGTTTGAAATTAAAGATCTATTAGTAAATGAATCATTTTATTATCTTTAAGCTAGATGAAATATAGTAAGCGGTTTCTGATGTTTTTACATCATTTAAATGTACAAAGAAAACTACTTTCTGTATGAGTTTCCTAAAAGATTATTAAAATTGTTATGACTTTATGTCCGGCTTTTTATCACGTGATCTATCCACCAATCAAAATACGACTAATACAATTCCGCACTGTGCCAAAACCAATGACGTTCGACCGGTATGAGCAGTCTAGCGTCTTATTTGGTCCTATGTCTGTCTAGCTCGTCCACTTGAGTTCAGAACACCAATACCAGCTTCCAATATGCGAATCGAATCATTTATTTCAGACATACTGGGTTTATATATCAATCAAACAGAACGCAACGCACCGTAAAATAGGAAATAATATTTGTACACAATCAAGTCAAAAAGTGGCTGTGAACGTGGGAGGCAGTAGTTAATAAATGGAACATAGCTCAAGAACTGTAAATTGTACAATAATAAATTATAGGTCAAAATAAAGCTTATAATAAGAGGAATATAAATATAAGTAATCTAATTATTGAATAGTTATACCATAAGAATGTATAGGTAATATTATTCAATTAATATGCCTCAGAAGTTACTCGTGATTTAATCTTCGCTCGGATATAACAAAAATACTGTGACTTCTTGAGTTAATTAACTCAAAAATAAAACGAAAAATTACCAGTGATATTGATTGTGCTGTAATTTCCCATACAAGTCGACTAAAATTAAAAATTTTACAAACATATACTGGCCTAAAGATGTTGTATTCACCATAGACCCATTACAGGTCTTATTTTCCACTTTGTGTATACTGCCAAGTTAACTTGCTTAAATTTTAGAGTTGAGTATTTTACAACTGTGTCAAACATTCCAATACATTTTCGTACTTTAAACTTATTTTAATTGTGTACTTATTTACGTTAAACAAATGTATTTAGACGATTTTATCAAAAAACAATTCAATCTATCGTTAGAGTTAGATACTGTGAAATCTAGTTGAAACACTATCAAATTGACTTGTATATTTTTTCCTTTCTCTCTATTTTGATGATATAAACTATGAGTACATTAGCAATCCATATAATAAATATAAATATAAATGAAATAACTATCATACAATCAAAACTAAACGCGCAGTTTCGTAGATTGGTTGGTGTTAGACACTAACACGATTAAATGCCGGCTCAGTGGTCCAGTAGGTTAGGCGCCCGCGTGCGAAACCGAAGGCCCTGGGTTCGGATCCCGTGAGCGGGACCGTGGATGCGCACTGCTGAGGAGCCCCACAACAGGACGAAACGGCCGCCCAGTGTTTCCAGGTTTCCAACGTTGGTCTAACATCAATCGGTTCATGATCTCAATCAAAAACTAAACGTAAATATTTTGTAATTATAATTGAATTACAATTAATCATTATTTAAAAATGTCATATTTTTTATTACAAGTTCAAATGTAATAAGATAGGAATGAATTGCTTTATTTTATATTACATCCTGAGGGTTTGTGATGCTAACTAATTATGTAGTTTCGGATGAAATGATGATGATGATGACCTTCGTTATTATTAAGTGAAGGTCATATTGTTGTCTAATTTTCCCTAGCATTTTTTCTTGATGATTCTTCGAATGAATTTAGTTTGTAATGAAAGTTGTTTATGATTAACTTAATTGGATATGGTTACTTTTCAATTTGTATTATTTTGTTATTATTATGGCTTTAAAATGTTAGATTTACTACAACAAAACCGAGATCAAGGTTTGAAATTAGCTACAGAAATCAATCAGATCAAAACCAATGTGGATGACTTACAAATTCAATTGAATAAATTAAAATCTGAACGTGAAGCACAAGGTAAATTCCTAATGGTTATTTCTTCAAATTTATTTTTTTGATCTTTTAAATTTGTGATAATTTGCAAGTGATTAACAAATGATAAATTCTATTGAACATTTCCTGAAAAGTATACATTATTAACTATTTTTTTTAAGGTGGAACATGGTACAACACATTGTTCAGTAGATTCTGTTTCAGATTATAAAATCCTTCATTTTAAATAAGTGTCAAATTTAGTTCTTTCATTCATTTACTAAGTCTACATAAATATATTGTCTGTTTTGAACCATACTGTTTATGAAGTTTATTGATACTGGTTGTCGAAATTCAAACTTGTTATCTATTTGCTAAAAACCGAGTAATTTCACCAGTATGGTACTGTTTAACATTTCTGTCCCAAATTACTGACGTTATGTTCAGTTGTATCTATCTACTAGATGGTATAATGATAAACTCTTCAGAATAGACGATTGATGCATTTTGCCGTACATTTTGCCATTAATATGAACTCATGGCTTTAAGAAAGCTACTTTTCATCTTAATTTAATATGAGTATAGAGGTTGTGAAGATTATTAATTTTTTGATTGATATCATGAACTGATTGATGTTAGACCACCGTTGGAAACCTGGAAGCACTGGACGGCCTTTTCGTCCTATTTTGAGGCTCCTCAGCAGTGCTCATATATGTGCTTACTATTGACTGGCCTCATGAGAATCTTCTCGGAGTTCTAGTAAGAAGTAGTGACCAGTGTCGAGTGAAGACAAATATCTACCTCAGTTCAATGGAAGATGGTCACGCGATTTCGTGGATTTGTTGATGTTAGACACTAACACCATCGGATGCCGGCTCAGTGGTCCAGTAGGTTAGGCGTTCACTCGCGAGACTGGAGGTCCTATGTTCGAATCTTGCTAGCGGGATCGTGGATGCGCACTGCTGAGGAGCCCCACGATAGGAAGAGACGGCCGTCCAGTGTTTCCAAAGTTGGTTTAACATCAATCGGTTCATGATCTTAATCAAAAACAAACTAGGCTACTGAGTTCAGATAGCCACTAAGTTTTCAACTTGTCTGAAGTTATTAGTAATTTTAATTTCTTCTCATTAATATCTAGTGACCAACCAGTTACAGTGCTAAGTATCATCAACGAAAAATCACAATCATTTCTTATTAACTTTAGAATATATATTATGTCAATTATATTTTCGATATTATGTAAACATTTCCGTTATTATAAGCGAAAATTCATGGTGGTTGGCAGTGGAATCTACGATGCACGTTTCTCACTATTCGGGACTCGTCAGCTTGATGTAACTGCATACCAGATTGATGTTTACTCCAGGACTCGATCCCAGCATCGTTCACTTCAAACACCATCGCGTTATCTACTTAGAAACTGAGTTCAGATAGCCACTATCTTGTATAAAATGGGAAAGTTTGATGCAGATGCATTCAACTAGGACGAAACGCGAGTCCTGTATTCCACTGCTAGCCATCATCCATCTCTGTTTATTATGCTTCTAACTCATGATATCATTGAGGCATTCCGCATAAGTTACACATATACCAATAAGAGACTGATCAATTTCAGTCCTAAACATAAGTTGAAAAGAATCAAACTACCAACACAAAAATGAATTCATTTTATTGTTTTAATTCAGGTAATTTAAACTTTTGAAATACGAACTGTGTACTTTACTTCATAAAATGTTGATTTTATTAAAAACAATATTTCTTTTCATTAAATAAATATCCAAAATAAATAATTAAACGTTTCACTTGAGGTCTGTTTAATAAAACATTTTTCTAGGAATTTGAATAATTTTACGTTATCAACATTTATATGTGGAATTCATTTTATTCTTTGACAACATTGAAAATTAAATACATTGTCCGATAATATGGTTTTTGACTTAAGTAATATAATAATTTTTAAAGTATATGTCAAAAACTGACAGGTTGTTGAATTCCATTTGTATAGATTTATATTAAAAGGATTCTTTTTTTCTGGTGATTATGTACACACATCGTAATTATGAACGCTAATATACGATCAAATGTATACTTATACTTTGATATTCGGACTTGAATATACTTGTAAGGGCAAATATTTATGATTTTATGTTAATTTGAAAATGCATCAATCGGTCCTGTCAATATAAACTAAGATTAATAGGTTTCGCCAAGGTTATTTTAAGTTGTTGGTGCTATTTGTTAATGACCGCTCTCAGTTAGAGTACCAGCAAAAATCAAGAAGCTTTTGACGTTTATCTCATTCTAATATGAATCTCTCTAGCATGGAGTACTTATGATCTGATTGAGGATCATATTCAGGATTTTGAGGTGTCGGGGAGAATATCCATTCATTAATGTCACATATAGGTATCATTACCAAGGTTTGATTTGATAATTTCGAATAAATTGAGCATTGGGTAGATTGTTATAAATAAATAGTATATTTGTAATACCCCAACGAGTAGGAAAATTAGATTTTCTGACGTTTCGTGGCTTAGTGTAAATCACTTCTTCAGAGAATAAATAACCAAATTAAAATTAATCCAAGTGTAAATAGTACAACGGAACAATAAGAATAATATTTGATCAATCAATGTCATATAGCTCACATTCAATGATATGTATTTTTGTTCACAATTCTAATCAATGTTTTGTCATTTTGTTTAGCAATGTTCTACTTGACATCTTTCTACACCATAAACTAGCTTTAACTGGAGATGAGGACGGAATTATTGGAGACATGAAGTAATTTAACGGTTGTTTCATCATATTTGTGAACTCCTTTTACGAATTTTTTTAAAATTTATAGTCTTATACATTTTACTGAAACCAGAACCTCTAGATCATATATTGATTATAAACAACAAAACCATTAAGTCGAAATCCAATGGTTCATCTTTAATCCGTTTAAAACTGCTAACAAATCTCAGAATTACTATGTATTTTCACAATAACCTCACTTATGTGAAGTTGTTATGTTATAAGTTTCACCTCTGGGTGAAAAAATTGATACCCACTTGGTACTACTTTTGTATTGTGTAAAACAAATAATTCGTCCTTATTCATCCTGCTGTTTATTAGACAGAACAATTTCACATATGTTTAATGGTTAAATGAAAATTACTGGTTATCCTGAACCTTGTCTTCTTGTTGGTTGGAACTTATCATCAAACGCTATCTTGACCCTTGAAACAACTGATACTTCTTGTGTAGTTCGAACATTTATATTCCTTTGTGCTACGGCCAGAAACACTAACAATTAGCTGTTTGAGAAGGATTATTTTTTGTTCTAAAAGTTACAACGGTAACAACGGAACACTAAACCAAAAGGTTCTATGCAAAATTAAATTACACTCATCACGAATTTTTTCTGTATCTATGAGCAACTATTTAAAACTGTCGAATTCAATTTTTTGATAAAATGACCTTATAATTGAACGATGTTTTTCGGTTCAACGAATCAATAAATTTGTTTTTTGAAAGTTTCGGCAATACTTGATGTATTGCTTTTACATTCATTGGATACGAATTTTTATTTGGCATGAAAGTATCATATACTTGATTTTTTCATTTAACTGAATCCCTAGTTTATAAGTAAGAAAAATCTGTTACCTTTCAGTATACATATGGTTGTTAATTATGGATGCAAATTAATTTTCAAAAGAGATTATTTTGTACGTGTTTCCATATTATACAAATGAAAGTAAACTTATTTGTTCTAAAATGACTAGAAAATCATTCAGTTAATAAAATCTAATCTTTGCATACTTACTTATTTACTTACTTACTCCTGCTACCCCTCATAGAGGAACACAGACAACCCACCAACATTCTTCATCCAACTCTAACCTAGGCAATTCTTCTCAGTTGTTTCCACTTGCAATTCATTCTTGTGATGTCTGCTCCCAATTTCCGACGCAGTGTATCCTTTGATCCTTCCTCTTTTCTTTTCCCTTCAAGATTCATAGTTAACACTTAGCTCGTGATGCAGTTTAATAATTTACTCAATGTATGTCCTATTCATCTCTATCGTATTTTCCTAATTTTTCTTCAAATGGAAGCTGATTTATTCTTTGCTTAGAATAAACCAAACTCAAACGCCTATCTTCTGAGCTTAAGTTATTTTCTATCATTTAAAAGTAAACATATTTTCATGCACATCCACGATCCTGCCCGTCGCGCGCAATCGCTTAACTATTAGACTAATGAGACGGCATCCAACGGTGTTAATATCTAACTTCAACTAATTCACGAAATTGAGTGACACATCCACCATTGTCTTCAGTGAGTTACTATCTCACAACAGACTTGGTTGAACTCCACTGGTCACGGCTTCTCACTAGAACTCCAGGATATACCTCGTGAGAATTCCCACAGTAGGACGAAACGGCCGTCCAGTGCTTCCAGGTTTTCCATGATGGTCTAGCTTCAACTGACTCATGATCTTAACCATTGAAATTACTATAATATCCACAAAACTCATCTGAGATAAAATAACAGTTTAGTACAATATAAATATTTATCATCATTTCTATTTATATAAAAATCAATCGGACAATGAAAAAAACTTGTTTGGAAATTAAAAGAAAAAAGACCTTAAATTTAAGCAATTAATTATATACCATCTTTTTCTACTGTTTGTTTTATCATGATTTCATTCAAAAATTCAATTTATTTACGTACGAAAAAAACAGCATCTATTCAACAACATTTAATCCATGTTACATTGGGTTTTTTTTATTTGGTAAGAACAAGATGTTGATTGTTTTCTTATTTTCTCTTATTACTAAGCAAGTAGGTTTCTATGTGCATGTGCGTGCGTGTGTGTATGTGTGTTTCTGTTTTTTTTTATTATTGTCAAAATCAATATTACATTTTAAATTAATTGTTTTCTTAAAATGTAAATAAATGAATGATATTTTGTGTAAAAATAATCTTTCATTATAAAAAATAAATCAGCTAGAGAAGTATCAAAAGAATAATGATCATTGAATATCTTTGTTTTA